AACCCCAAGAAGAGAGAGCACATTATTCCAGTTCTCAGATCCTTACACCCCCCCCATTTCCTAACCCCAAGAAGAGAGAGCACATTACCCCAGTTCTCAGATCCTTGCACTGGTTCCCTGTCTCCAACAGTATTGGTTTCAAATTAGCCTACTACATGTTGTCTACAAAATCGCTGAATGGTTCAGCCCCAAATAATATATTTGATATGCTTGAAGAATATATAAGCCTGGTAGGTTATTGATGTTGTATTCTATCATAACACAGCCAAACAAAGCACATTGGGGCAACTGTTATGAAAGGCACTATATAAAAAAAATGTAGGCTAATTGAATATTAGATCGGTGGGGACTGCTCAGCTGCTGGTGTCCAGAGTTACACTTAGATCGGTGGGGACATAGCTCATATTGGCAACGATTTGCCTTCCTCAATGCTAATATGCACGACGACACAAACAACCAGCATAGCACATCTACATGACATAATTACGTGAGCTCGCAGGTTCGCACAATATCTTACCGTGCATGTGTTCAGTACCCACGAGGATGAAACTGCTGTTGTGAAACTTCTGCGGCTCAGCAGTCAAATCCTTCTCGAATAAAGCGATTATTACTCCAACCTCATAAAAGCACAATACAGTACACTATACTGGACATTGACAATTGCTCCAGCGTCATAAAAGCACAATACAGTAAACTACATATTGGACAAAGCAACGCTTTGCAATTTGCCATATTTCCTATTTCAGCTGTTTCTTTTATCTATATGTATCTCATTACATTTATAGTTATCCATGTGCTCTTTTCCTGCCATTTCTTTTTATTTAATTTTTCCCATAAATATATACCTCTGAGGCACCTATAGCTACAGTATATGGCTATTTTGAAGTTCTTGTCTTGTTATTTCTGTGCTGTTCAATTCTGTAGTTATTACATGTTATTGACTGAACACTGCGAGTAAGAATCCTATGTATTGATGTTCAGAAGTCAAAGAATTTTGAATCTTGACGGGGGGATCCATACTGAAGCGCACGGTGGAAGTCACGGATATTTGTGTGCTCCGTCTTACAGCTGCGCTTATCGCCAGTCACATCCAGGCAGCGTTCCGCTTCCTACTCATGTCTGGAAATTCCCGAGTTAATGCGCTGTTCAGTAGGTTGCATTAAAACAAACAGCTTGAGATATGATGTAAGTTCTTTGTATTTTATTTGTAAAAGCGGATTGTCTAACCTGTTTGTAAAATGACACTTAAAAACATTTATTGTATATATTGGGTAAGCATTAAGAATTCCTAATTTCTGATGAAAATTCTGGTTGCCTAGTTTATTTACCTAATTAACACAGCTTTGCAGTTTATATTTCAAAGTAACCCGTGTCATCTGTCTTGACAGGTTTGGTTTATGCAGAACGGATGACTAATGTAGACCACGCATTAGAAAACAGTCACTTCCTTTCAACTGCTGGGAAATTCCAGTAAAGGACGAGGTGATTATTAATCCTGCTGAGTCGGACCGCGGAGGATCGGAGAGCAGGCAGACGGCTCCTTTCACTGCGTCTGCGAGCAGGCGGGCGGCTCCTCCGATTGCTTCTGAGAGCAGGCGGACAGCTCTTCTCACCGAGCAGGCAGACGGCTCTTCTGGCAGCTTTAAAGGTCCGTCTCTGCTAAGAGGGGGTCGCTCCTGATCTATAGTGTACACTGCATAATACTTTAATAGCTGATGGTTTTTATGTGTGAGTGCCATTTCATACGCCTAATTAATGAACGAACTTTCTTTCTATTAATCAGGTTTCTTCGCTCTTTGTGTCCGCGGATGACGGCGTCCTCACAAGACATGGCTCCATTACTGAAGCTGTATGCTATTGGCACAATGCTGTCGCTGGCGGCAGCGATCATCGGCTTGGTTGACTCCGTGGGAGGCCTAATGTATGTTCAAGGACTAGATATGGACAACAACTGGACCGAGAGGAATCCCCCAAAGACTTGTTTAAGGCGCAAGGGTTTCGGATCGTGACGGGGACCTGGGTGTCTATGCGTCCGGACGCCTGCAAATGTTTTCGCTCATCAATCACTGGACAGATTCTTTAATATGCTCATGTGACGAACTTCGTTGTTTTAATGGTGTACAGTATAGCAGTCTTGAGAATATTCATGATCGGCTGGGATCACTTTTGATGATTTCTCACTTCTCTGTTTCACTTTGTGCGCGATTTAATAAAGAATAAAAGTTATAGCCGTGGTCTGAGCTTGTTTCTGCAGTAAATCCTTCATCCTACTGCTTATTTCATGGAGCAGGATCTCCATACTAATATGCTAGCACATCTTTCCAAAACCCCATTCGAAAAAATGCAATCAAAGTAATCGAACTAATGGAAACTGAGAATACGCAGATCTGAATGCTGAATCTGCAGTTGCAATAGGCTACTTGAAAATATAGCGAAATCGAACTTAAGTAGGCCTAAATGTAGCCTAATTCTCCAAACTAATTTCACTCCCCGGTTAAACTAAGTGAACGATTGACCTTTAATCACAATGAGTCCCTGCTAATAACTAAAGAGCCCCCCGGCAACAAAAATTCAGCAGCCATCTACCACCCTGCCCCCTTTGACAAAAAAAAGTCCCATTCGGCACTGTCATTTTTATTAAGACATTTGGAACGATACAAATAAATAATGATGAAATTTCAAACTATATAGCATAAGTATAAAAACGTAAACAAAATAATTTAATGAACACCTAAAAGAATTAACAATGACAAATAAAAAGAAATTGCATTCAAGGCCGTCGGAAATATGAGGGCGGGGGACCCCTTCCCAACAAACAAACAAACAAACAAACAAACAAATAAGTGCGTGCTCGTTATTTTTTTTTATTGTGAATTGACTCGGGTCAATTCGCTGCGCATGCGGAGTTCGAGGACGAAACATATACTTAACAAAGACTTTAATTACCTCCCCTTGTGAAAAAATAGTGTACTAAAGTATATTTACTTAAAAAAAATACAATTATCACAAAAATATTTACTTTCAGCAAAGTCTATTCAGTGTGTTATATCCCAAAAAAATGTACTAATGTGTATTTGATTACATACTTGTATTCAAGTGTGCTTCAGTGTATTTAATTATGTTTAAATGCAAAATATATTTTCTAAAAGTACACAGAAGTATAATGTCAGTGTATTAAAAAAATATGTGTAAAGAGAATGCATTTCTATTACACTTCTAGTGATCAAAGCACACTGTTTACACTTTAGTACACTATTTTTTCACAAGGGTCTGTATCAGACAAAATCATTTTATCACACGGATCAGTTATTTTTAGTTATGTTTAGTGGTGAAACTGTACCCTAAAAGGTGTTAAGTCTTATTTTAAATGATGAAATCTTTCTTCTTTTAAAATATCTTAAAATATTTCTTACATCACATCCTTTCACAATGTGACTGTTACTGTATGTTTCACGATATATACATCGCCCCCAATCCCGATCCCCACCCACTCGCCCGCTGGTCCAAATTTGGTCACCCAATGTCAAACTCCTTCTGACGCCATTGATTGTAGTGCTGCATACAAATATTTAAAAAGAGAATCGAATTATCACACTGTTATCCTTTTGGCTAACAGATATAGCAGTGTTATACGCGCCTGTTTCATCACATGCATATTATACTCACGAAGAGGTTAAACAACCGCACATCTTTATCTTTTGCACGTTTCTTCCTCTTTTTTTTTTTTTATAAACTGAGCACCTGATGGCTCAGACCTTTTCTTATCTATTTGTATTAATTTTGGGGTTAATACATTACCCATCCCTCCACTGTAAACCAAGAGTCAAAACCGAACAAAAAAGTGCAACAGTATGTCTTATAAATGCAACAATAGTATTATAGATTAATCGTGGTTTATTTGGTAGCATGTCGTAGTTTGACTGATTTCTCTAATCGCATTCTAGTACTGTACAAAATTCCCCCGCTCCCTCTACCTCGGGCTTCCTGTGGAGCGAGCTGACGTCACCCTGCCCTGTCCTACTTCTGTGTGGTAGCCTATAGCTCATAGACTAGAATCAGGGCACCCACCATGGGCATCACCGCCATTAAATCTGAGGGGGGCGTGTCCCCCTCACATTTCATAATTATTCGTTTGGACCACCCCACGTTTAACATGAAATATTAGTTTTATGCCAGTGTGTACCCCCCACATTCAAAATGCTTCTGGCGCCCCTGGCACCCACTCTGGCACAGTTCATTGACCCACGCAGTGACGTGATATCATTGATGTGCCATGCAAACAGGAAACAGAAAACCGATTACACAAATGTCGCCGTTCCGCTTTTTTGTTTTGTGGGTGCCCTGTGCCACCTCTGCCAAGATACCACCCTGGGTGGCTGCCCATGTATCCCACACATAAATGCACCAGTCTGGGGTATTATGTTAAAATTTGGGCCCCCGGGCTGGCCCGCATGAAGGCCAGCTACATATCGAACAGGCGGAATGTATGTGTTGAGTAATCCAAAGAGTGATCTTTGAGCGCGTCATGACTGCGCTGGCACCTCACAGCCTGCTGACAGTGACAGCAACATAGATGGAAGGGAGACGTTAGACAACGGTCCCCAGTTACTGATCTCGTTAGACATTGGTTAGGACAATAGCCAGAAATAGAGGAAATACTCTTTACCATCTGCCACATACTGTACTAGCCAGTTGCATTTATCCATTATAGAACAGTTCCATCAGTAAAAAAAATAAAAATAATAAAAATACAAATTTATCTTCCTATAGGTGTCACGTCCTGCCTGATCCTTGTGTTCCTCCCTGGAGTAGCCAGCTGCCATTCGTCTTACCTCTTGTTCCAGCCCTCATGTGTACTTAAAGGACAATTAAGAGAGAGGATGGGTGGGTGTTGTACACTCAGTGATAAAGAAAGTGAAACACCCAGACAGAGTGGTGGAAATTAAATGAATCTGCATGTGATGAAAGGTCATGTGACTGTATCACAATGATTATAATTAATATCAGATCAAATGGACAACAGAGTTGGCAGTATGGACACACTGCTGGTCCCATGTCACTAGGGTGTGGCACCTCCCCCCCCAGGCCTGGATACATGCGGCGATACAGTCGCTGTATGCTCTCCTGCGGCAGGTCGGCCCGTGAGATCCTGCAGATTGGCATTGGGTCACTGGGTCTGAGTTGATGTCCGAGCTGATCCCACACATGTTTGAATGGGGAAAGATCGGGGGACCTGGCTGGCCACAGGAGGACCTCAGCATGACGCAGTCAGTCCATAGACACGTGCCATGTGTGGATGGACATTGTCTTGTTGAAAGACTGTACCAGGGTGCTGTCTCAGGAGGGGTAAGACATGAGGACACAGGATGTCACTGCCGTAGCGCTGTACCGTCAGGGTCCCTGATTCACTACCAGAGATGACCTGAAGTCATAGCCTATGGCTCCCCACACCATGATGTCATACCCTATGGCTCCCCACACCATGATGTCACACCCTATGGCTCCCCACACCATGATGTCATACCCTATGGCTCCCCACACCATGATGTCATACCCTATGGCTCCCCACACCATGATGTCACACCCTATGGCTCCCCACACCATGATGTCATACCCTATGGCTCCCCACACCATGATGCCAGAAGTAACGCCAGAGTGTCTCTCCACCACCAGGCCTCATGCAAACCTACAATGGAACCCCTATCAAACTCTGTCAAGTGCTAGTAATGCTGTCTAATGCGTCTGAGGCATCAACTGTGTCTGATGACTAAACATGCCAGCTCCTTGCAAATCAATTCATTTACACACCCATCAATGGTCTGTACATGTACCAAATTACATCCAAATCGAACAATTACAATTACTGAAGAATAAATAAAAATATTGTTAAAAAAAGTTTGCCGATGCTGGGGGATGTCCTCCTTGGTAACTTTTGCTGTGGGCGACCTGTCTCCCCAGTCCCCCCAGTCCCACCAACTCCTCTACTGGAAAAGATGGTAAGACCTGTGCTTGAGAGATGGAAAGGACGTCAGGTTAAACACAGTTATGCAGTGTTGTGAGGGTAAGTGACCATCAGGTGGCAGCGTCAGCTGTGGAAAAAGAATCACAAACTCTTTGCACAGCTGAGAAAAGAGTGAATGACAGAAAGTAGCCAGTCTGCACGTTGGGCATCTGTACAGGGAACAGACAATGTGTTGCACTCACTTGGCCACAATTAAATTGCGTGGGGCACACAAAGACCTGACAGGTAGAACAATCAGTCTCTGGTGGCTTTTCTGTAAAAGCATGGATTACCAGGACACACTTGCAAGAACATCTGCAATAGTTACATCAAGAACAATGTAAATAATTCACTTGTGGAATAATTTGATTTCCATAAGGTAAATTATATAGCCAGATTTTTTTGTTCATCAGATATTCATGAATAGACTTTGCTTGAACTGAGAGGGTAGTTTGGACTGAGGTGGATGTATGATCATTTATTGCTCAGTGCACTGCAAATTCTACCCCAGGTCTGGAATACATATTTATGAAGAACAAGGTATTTGTGATTTTACAGTCAAACCACTACAGAATTGGTTCCATCAATTCCCAAATCAGTCTGACTGATTAGTGTTACCCACAATCGACTTGGTCGAAGACTAAGACGTTATTGAAATATTTATTTATAGTTTTTTCATAAACTGGGGAAGACCATGAAAAGAACAAAGAGTCACAGCTGTTGGTGTCACTGAGAGAAGGACAGGATCAGGTTACGGTCACCCCCAGGTCAATGCCGCTTCTCTCCGGGATCCTGGGATGGAGCGAGACTCTGCAAGGCTCCTAAGAGGCTTTTAGAGGTCAGTCGCTTGGAAACTGTCACAAGCAGTCAGTCACCTGCAGAAGTCATTGAGAGACCCCCCCCCAATTACTGTAGCAGCACAGCCACCATTGTTGCCCTGGCTGTGACTCCTTAAGCCGAATCCTTAAACGGGGAGGCCCCCTGACTGAGGAGGGGGGGCACTCAGCTGTTGGACTGCTGGTGGATTTAGGTACGGGTGACATGGGAGGCTGCCCAGGGCGTCCACACAAAAAACATCGGAATGGTGACATCTGCTCAATCGGCTTTCTATCGCTCATCTGCATATCACATCAGTGATGTCACCCATTAACCATGTCGGAGGGGGTGCCCTGACTGTAGTGTATGAGCTATAGGCTACCACTCAGAAGTAGGATATGGGGAGGGGCCACAAGAAGCCCGAGGTAGGGGCAGCGGGGGAATCTGTCAAACAGCGCGTCTTGAATTTTGTACAGTACTAAGGAGATTAGTAAAATCAGTCATGCTGTGAAATGTCTGTATATCATGGAGAGCAAAATGGGATAAAAAAGGATTAATAAATTACCCTGATTCATTCATAATACTGTAAATAATGTGGCTTTAGGAAGACCCAGATATTGCAGTCACATCCACTTGCAAACAGCTTTAATATATAAAAGAGACTACATGAAATGGAGGGGAAGTCACACTACAAACATGAGGTCACACACACGGTGGGTATGTACAAAGGCAGTGGAGACAAGCAGAGAGGGATCCAGTATAACAAAAGTAAGTACAGAGTGGCATTCAGGAGCACAACACGAGTATTTACAACAGATAACATGAAGGGGCTGTATACAATATCCCAAAAGCATGATGGGAGATGCAAATGAGCTTCCCCAGACACAGTGGTGGTTGTAGCTTGTATGGTGTCCGGGGGGGACTTCCTCTTCAGCCCCCACCTCTGCTATCCCCCTGGGCCTCGAGAATTGTGTGTCCATCTCCCCCTGTCCTCCTGCTAACAAAAAAGCCCCATTTGGCACTAACTGTCATTTAACTGGTTGGTGGGGGGGGGGGGGGGGTTGAAGGGTGGGTTTTCCCAGGGCACCATCCACTGGGTAGGACAGAATCAGACCATCTTTTTCCTTTTTGACATTCCATTCAGCCAGGGACACCCTAGTGTGCTAAACCACAGGCCCATCAGCCAGCGGCCACAGCCTCAAGTGAAGAGCTGGACTGAAAGGAAAAACAATCTGATTATAAAGCGGATCGATGTCTCTTTGTTACATTCACATGTGGAAAGATTTCAAGTCAAAAAAGAATTTGATTTATTGCATATCTGTTCTATAACAAACCAAAATGAATGAAGGGAGGATTCATCAGCAATGACGGGCGATTATTAGAGCCAGCTTCCTTCACAGTGGGGGGGGGGGGGCATGAACCCACACAGCCTGTACCTGTGCTCCCTGGCTCACAGGCATCGTGTTGGTGTCGGTGCTGCTTGTGACGCAGCTCTCTGCTCTGTGCCGTAGATGAAGCCCTGGGCCCACACAGCCTGTACCTGTGCTCCCTGGCTCACAGGCATCGTGTTGGCGGTGCCGCTTGTGACGCAGCTCTCCGCTCTGTGCCGTAGATGAAGCCCTCAAGCTCCTTGCTGGAGGAGCTGGCCTGGGAATTTGCATTTGTTTTTCTCCACCAGCGCAAGGTCTCCCAGTCACAGATACACACCTGCAGATACACACATGACCTCGCCCTCAGGGATGGGGGGGCTGAACAGCACCTCCTCCCGCCCATGGTATCCCGCCCCCTTTTCTAAGCCTCCAATCCTATTTGGGAGAGTGACGTCTGCTGGTGTCAGAAAAGGGGTTAAGCACCTGGGCGAAGTGCAGCTCAGCCAGCAGGTCTGAGCAGGTCTGTGCTCTGGGGGTCCTGCTTGGGTCCCACTCAGCCGAACCAACAGGCCAAAGGCTGGAGCCACCTGACTGGCTCACCTGCCACCTGTCCAGCCAGCACTGAGCTTCTCGCACCACGGTGCCTCCTTCAGGCATCTGCTGAAAGCTCAGCACCCACCTTATCCTGCAGCCCGACCTCCTCCTGCAGCCAGACCTCCTCCTGCAGCCAGACCTCCTCCTGCAGCCAGAACTCCTCCTGCAGCCAGAGCTCCTCCAGCAGACAGAACTTCTCTCGGCCAGGCTCGGCTAAGATAACCAGATAAGCAAGGGGTGCCATGGTGCCCTGGGAAAGTTGGAGGCTACAGGGAGGCAGGACCTAAACAAGGCTGGGTGCAGTGTGCAATTCCTGCGCAGGAATGAAAATACATGCTGCCTGCTGATAAGGCTGTGAGCGCCGCCTCTGTTCAGACAGAGATCTGAGTGGAGTTGCGTTGTGTGGGCAAGGGCAGCGGGCACATCACAGAGCCGTGCAGAAGAGGAAGCGAACAGGCGGCTGCAGTGTACCCCCACCCGCATTTCCTGGGCATGGAGGCACACGGATATGATGGTGAGCGGGACACTTACCAAATCGACTACCGGAGGATCGTGGGGGACACAGAGCCAACCTGGTCCCGGCATTCACCCAGGGAGGGCAAACACCCCCTGCACATGCTGCCCATCCATGCCAACCCTCACGGGCACAGGCACGAGACGGCGGCCCAGCGCTACAGCGCCACCCGCATCCAGGCCGGCTACGAGCCAGAGAGGTGAGCCACCCAAGCATGACTGAGAGGCTGGGAATTTGCTTATGGAAATACTGCATGCTCTCTAATGCAGAGACCCTGTGAAGGGCACCTAGGCTGGATCCAATGCATGCTGTTTGATGCAGATACTCAGCGAGGGGCCCCTAGGCTGGATCCTATGCATGCTCTCTAATGCAGATACTCAGTGAGGGGCCCCTAGGCTGGATCCTATGCATGCTGTCTGATGCAGATACTCAGTGAGGGGCCCCTAGGCTGGATCCTATGCATGCTGTCTGATGCAGATACTCAGTGAGGGGCCCCTAGACTGGATCCTATGCATGCTGTCTGATGCAGATACTCAGTGAGGGGCCCCTAGG